AGGAAGCGGTTATCCCCCACCAGCACGGGACCCCGAGGGGTGCCCACATTGAAGCAGCACTCGTGACACGAGGCGACCAGCAGGCGGTTGGTGGCCGCGATAACCTGGCGGGTGTGTGTATATGTATGTGTGTGTATATATATGTGTGTGTGGGGGGGGAGCAGGGGTAGGGGGGGTTAAGGGGTAGAACGGGGGGTTGGGGGGTTAAGGACATATGCGGAACATACGTTAACCCGCCGGCCTTATTCCTCCGTGGATCCATTTCTGCGCATCCGCCGCGTGTGTGTGCCTGAGTGTGTGTGTGTGAATGTCTGTATGTCTGTATGCCCCTCATTACAGCACCGCTGCAATGCGGCTACGGCTGATGCATGATACCATGCGGCATCGGGTATCGCTGCCGTACAGCCGCCCGCTCCATTGCCCTCTCCTCTTTCCCCCCCCCCCTCAAACCCAAGTCCTACTTCTGGTACACTCTTGCCCTGGCAGCAGCTTCACTCGCTCGTGGTTCGTCTTTCCGCCCCCACTCCCCCCCCCACACCCACCTGGACCTTGTCGCACCTCTCCACTCGCAGCAATCTGCCCACCGCCCCCACCACGATGGTGCAGTCGCTGCAGCCGCTGATGAAGGCAGCCTGGGGATGAGGGGGGTGGTTTTGGGGGCCGGATGTGAAGGGGGGGAGGCGGCGCGGTGTGTGGGGTGTGTGTGGTGGTGGGGTTGGGTGGAAAGAGTGGAAGAAAACCCCACCTCGGGATTCAGACTAACGCCCAAACAAAAGATGGTGGCCCTGTGCACTGGTGCTGGTGCTGGCGTTGGTGGCGTTGGTGGTAGGGTATGTGCGCTTGTGTGCATATGTATGATGTGTGGGACAGGGGGTTCATATCTTCAGACCCTGCCATCCCCGGTATTCGGGGCACCCTCATCCAGTCACCCTAGCCAACCTCTCAGTGGATCGCTCAGGTTCCGCACCCACCACCGGCATCCAACGGAATCCGCCGGATCAGCACGGCGGCTTAACTCCATTCCAGGTCGGCTCGCGAGTCAACTTTACCCCAGGTCACCACCGTCCATCGACTAGGGGCACATTACCCTCCACCATAGGAAGGATTTTCGACTCTGACAGGTCTCGATCCCGGGATCTCCCGGGGGCATAGGTGCGTGCTCTACCAGTAGTGCCTGACCTGACTTATATGTATGTATTTAAAAGAAGAGAGATTTCGGGAACAGGGACAGCTCCCCCGTTCTTCTTTCCCCCATCCCTTCTCCTTCCTCACCGTAACAAACCACCTAAAACCTCCCCGCCCCCCTCCCCTCTCCCCGCCCGCCCCCCCCTTCCCCTCTCCCCGCCCGGCCCCCCCTCCCCTCTCCCCGCCCGCCCCCCCTCCCCTCTCCCCGCCCGGCCCCCCTCCCCTCCCCTCTTTTACCTGCAGAGGGGCCAGCAGGTAAATGACCGCCTCGTGACAGTCCGTGATCCGTACATCCCCGAGGGGCAGATCCCCCTCCCCGCGAACAACCGTGCCGCGATACACACCCGCAATGGCACGGTCATCGACCTGAAGAGAGGGCGGTGGGGAAAATTGGCAAAATATAAGAAACAATTGACAGCATATTGCG